GAGTCTTCACATCAAGTATCAATGATATAGCCTCTGTACACAGGGTAGATAGGGACAGGAAACTTAAACATGGCTACCTAAAATGAGGTGGCGATAAAGGCACAAAGTGACTGGCTTACAAGGTTTTAAGAGGAAGTTTAGTTTAAGATTACGGGGGAGAATAAAGAGGCCCCAATGAATAGTTTTCATCTTGTCTAGATGGGTGTGGTAAAGAGATGGGGGAAAAGATTTGTATGATTCAGTAATGAGTAACTGTTAACATGACTAACAGACTGTAACAACTGTAAAGGTAGAAGTTTTGTAACAAAAACAGGAGAGTGGTTAATCTTACAGTCCAGAAACAAAGGGTCCTAGGACCATCAAGGGAGAAGAACACAAGCAGAATACGGGACCTTATCCAGAGAAGTAGTGACACCAGAGACAGAGGCAAGGATGGGGTCATGGAGAGGGGGAGCAACTGAGGACTTGAGATTCATAGGAAGAGAGGGACTAAGAGCTGGTGGCCAAGAGGCAGATTTGCAGAACGTGCCCTTTGGAGGTGTAAATAATTACATATCCCTGAGTGTTTTGTTTTGTTGTTTTTTTTTTAAAAAAAAAAAAAGCTAAAGCGAATAGAGAGAAATACTGTTAACTGATGGTACCTGGAGGGGAGTATAATCATTGTAATGAAACAAGGTGTATGATTTGTTAAATGTAAAACTGATGATCTGCCCTGTAAGCTTTCACTCAATCCACAATAAAACCTTTTAAAACAAAAAAAAGTAAGAACAAAACATTTCAAATACTTTAAACAACTTATAGTATTATATTCTCAAGTCTACCATTTACTGAATTTTTAAAAATACCAATCCAAAATGTTACGTCTTACCTGATCATTTAATTGCCGAATTGTTTTTTCTATATGCGGCAAAAGGCCCCGGAATGTGAATTCTTGTATAAACTGTCGAATCCGATCATGATCGGTTAGGGTTAAACATGCACCATGAATCACTGCAGTATTTGCTTTCTTTGTTTCATGTGATGATGAAGCAGATTTTAAATGATCTGGGCCATCAATGCTATTAGAAGGGTTATTGGATTGGTCCAACTGCAGCGGGTGAGCTCTAAAGTTATTTGGTAAGCCATCTACTGAAAAACAGATCTTTTTTTACTCTAAGAATACAAGAGATAACTATGACAATACTACCACATTGCTACTGGAAAAAGATAAGAATGCTGGAAAGCCTATGCATAATCTTTCTGTATATTCTAGAAGTCTTATTCATAATAACATTAACATTTCCCCAATAAATTTAGAGGGCTTGGGTTAATGTTCATTAGGATTAACAGAAATTTAAACATTTATATAAAGCAAGAAATGAGGAAAATGCAGTTTTGAAATAATATAAAGAATTACTTTTAAACAGTACAACTTTTAACCAGTACAACTAAGTTATAAGCAAAGATTTTATAACAAAAAAATCTTTGGAATTCTCACCACTCAACTGCACTTTTAAATACTGAAATAAACCTCTCAAAATCATCTGAGTTTTGGGAATAACCAATGTTGAGCATCATGCTTCATTGCTTTCTACAAAATTATAAAGACATCTGTATATAATTATAATTAAGTTTTACATATATACTTTTCAAAAAGCAAACCCAAGTCACCCAATAAAGTCTTCAGAAAATGTCTAACTGCTCTTCCTCTTTTTTTCATTATGAAAATTTCCCCAGTATTCAATGTAAAGGTTAGCATGCTTTCACAACAATGTATATGGTTAATCAAAAGAGAAAACTTAGAGAATATCAAGACCTTTGACTTCGTTATCTAATCCATCCAATGAAAGCAAGTTACTATCAGAATTCTTATTTGAAGTTATACAAGGACCATCTTCATATGATTCCTATCAAAATAAAACAAAAATACATTAGAGGCTATATTTAATCATTTTTTTTAATTATCATCAAATTCATCAACAACTATTGCTGCTCTAGTAATTGTTGGTGTTATATATTTACTACAAGAAGACTCTTTTCTTCCAATCTTTCAAATTCCTAACTTCTTCCATTCATCTTACACTACCACTCCAATTCACGTCAACAGCATTTTTAACTTTCTTTCACACTCAATTTGTTACCCTAATTCGTCTGAATCCTAACATCTCTATCTCATTTTTTCTGTTTATTTTTGTATAACTGTATATGTGTATGGTCCAAGCAAGGAATAACATTGGTGGTGGCAGTTATGTGCCGTGGAGTCGGAACCAACTCATAGCAACCCTGTACAGGCTTTCCGAGGCTGTAAATCTTTACAGGAGCAGAAAGCCTCATCTTTCTCCTGCAGAATAGCTGGTAGTTCCCAACTGCTGACCTTAAGGTTCGCAGTCCAACTGGTAACCACTACATTACCAGAGCTCCTTAGGAATAACAGTAAGAGAGATAAATTAATAGTCAGCAAGGGAGGAAAAAAGGAATGGTATAAAGTCTCCTTGGTCACAAGCACAGTGTTAGCATGCTAGTATAAATTTTGAATATATCAAAGAGCTTTGAAAAATACCCGATTCAATGTTTATTTGCACAAAGGCACTAGCAGTTCATTCACCAAGAAAACTTAAACTAAAAATGCCCCAAGCCTACTTCACAAACACTATGAAGTATTATTGAGAACCACACTTCACGGGAAACATAAAACTAAAAGTAGAAGGAAAGTGACTAAGATAGGAAACTGTCTAAAATCAGCATGGGATAGAGAATTGAAAAAATTAGGTATATTTTGCCTGGGGGGGGCAAAAAAAGTGGGGGACATGGAACTATCCTCTTATATTTTAAAAAGTTATCTTAATGGAAAATTGATAGGGTCCCCAAAGGACCAACGGATATAAGCAATAGAGATAATTTTTGGTTTACATTTAAGCTACTCAGTAATGAAATAGGTCACCAAAAGAAAATTAACAGTGTCATTCATCAAGTCATTCATAGGCTTAAAGGAAATTCAATATTAAATCAGGGGTACAAATTGATTTTATATGATCCTCCAATCCTGGGCTTCTACAAAATCTGTTACCTGGTTTATATGCTCCTTTCCAACTTTAAATACAAGCATAGAATTATATGGACCTAAAATTCCATATACAAAGGTAAGTCAAAATATACTGTGAGGAGGATTCCAGTTCAGAAATGAACAGGTTTTATCCAAGAAAACCATGTTTAAAATATCTCTGCACTCAAAGTACATGGCTGCAGACAAGTACACTTGTCTTAATCAGGAAAACACTTGTCTTAATCTCCTTAGGGTGCCATCGATGAAAAAACATGTGAAATCAAAACAGAGGCTTCCCTTGGGCAATCTAAAGCAGAGAAGTCAGCTCAAGTGACAGCAGCTGTTTCTTGGGATTTCAAAGCCTAACTGATAGATTTTCTCAAAAAACACATGACTATTATGGGCGCTGACTGTAAAGTTTTAAGAAAACTGCATTGGTGAGAAAAAGTCCAAGAAAGTTGCTCCAAGCAATTTTTTTTCTCATCATGGCAATGCACCTGCTCATTCTTTGAGGAAACTGGGGCTGTCCTATGAGAATTTTGCTAGAAAACCTCCCCCAATCCACCCTATAGCCTTGGTCTTTCCCCTTCAGACTTCTCTTGTTCTCAAAACTCAAACAATGCTGAGAATTAACATGACTTGAGCCCTTGGATGTCAAAACTGTCTTTTTGACAAGGTATATATCAAAGAATGTAGAATTTTTCTGGGAAAGATTAGAGAGATGGAAACAATGCCATGCCTTCAGGAGGGCATATACCTAGACTGAGGATATATCATGAAATGAAAGCTTCACATTTGATGCATTTTAAACAAAGGTTTCTTTGATTTTATGAATACTTTTTGATTTATCCTTGTATATAACACAAAACAAAAAAAGGCAAACAAACTTATTAGATCAATTTTATTAAACTTAAGTATCATACTAAAAATTACATCGTGTGGTTTCACTGCACAAAATAGAAGTAAAACTTGCATTTACTTAAAAAACCCTCCTTCTAACAAAACCAGTCAACTGATGATTATTTTAAATAATCATTGAACTTGGCATTCGAATACTCTTAAGTGACACGCAATTCCCTCTGAAAAGTTTGACAGAATTTGAAACTTTAGACCCCCCCCACTTCAATCAATAGAAAGCAATTAACATAAGTGTAGAACTAAAGATAAAAAAAGAAAGAAAAAAAAAAAAAAAACACTTCCTGAAAATTCAGAAGGAAAGGAAATCAAAGAAGTCAGGAGAAAAAAAGCCCACCCCCCTAAAAATTATGAGCGCCAAACGGTGGCCATAAGAACAGTATGTTGAAAATGTAGAAAGGCAACCCCAGAGCATGTTGATAATAAAGAATTGACTGTAAACATTCATAATTAATTAAATAAACAAGCTAAAAATTCTCTTCCCTCAGCATGTCTAGTCAATCTAATTCAAAATACTTAATATGTAATTCACTTTCCATCTTTTAAGAAAAATAAATGAACACTGATATTAGATAGGTGAAAGGGTATGCAAAAACAATGTGGTAGATGATTAAAACTAATTTTTGAGCCCCTTATTCAAAAACTAGAGATTCCACAAAGCAAATATTCAGAATTGCACAAGTTAGACCAAAGCATAAAAATATACTATGACATCATGTGATAAACTGAAATAAAGGTTATGTGGTTTGCTTCATTGTTGTTGTTTTTTACATATACCTGGTTTTGAATACTATTTTTCTGGAGATACTGACTCCAAGGATCTGGAATCTGTTCATCTGATGATCGATTAGATGTCCGAGAATTAATTTTAAGTAAATAGCAACCCTGAGTTCCATATTTCTGTTTCATTTCTTCATAAATTGAATCAGCTCTACAAGTAAAAAGATATATATATATAAATCTAAAAGTTAAAAAAAAAAAAGTATTTACAGCAAATAGGAAGAATACTTTAAGCAAAATGTATATTAAAATACAAAGCCACACACATAAAAATAACTTAAAACCTAACAAAAGTAAGAAGGTATAAAAATTAAAAAAAACGATAACATGGTCCTAACTGAAATTTATTTAGCTTGGACATCACCTTAAAGCAGAGCTATCCAAAGGAGCTCTGGCAGCAAAGTGGTTACAAATCAGGCTGCTAACCTCAGGGTCAGCAGTTTGAAACTACCAGCTGTTCTGCAGGAAAAAGAAGAGGCTTTCTGCTCCCGTAAAGATTAACAGCCTCAGACACCCTGTACAGGGTCACTATGAGTCGGAACCGACTCCACGGCACATAACAACAACAATCCAAAGTATGCTCAGACAACTAAATCTGGTGGTTGGTGAAACACATGATCATTTGAGTAAGAGAGTTTAAGAAGTAAACAATATAAATTGATGGTACATGAAATCTCAGTCTACATAGTTGTTGTTGTTGTTAAGTACCATCAAGTTGGTTCTGATTCACAGTAACCCCATGTAAGATTTCCAAGGAGTGGCTGCAGGATTTGAACTGCCAACCTTGTGGTTTACAGTCCAGTGCTTATCCAACTGCTCTACTACATAGCTAACCTAATTTAAATAGATACTTCAGAGTCAATCAGACATTTAGTGTAAAAAAAGTTGGAAAACATGCATTTGAATGTAGATGTTAAAACTACACAAATAAGCTCAAGAAACAGCTAAAACATACTATACACAATAAAATATACTGCATAAATAAGTTATAAATTTGCATAAATACAGGTCTATATCTCATACATAAACTCACATAACAAAGAACTCCTGCTTTCTTTACCAATGATGATCACTAAACACAAGAATAACTGACCTAGTATTTTAACATTTAAATTGTCTATTTATAACCATTCAAACTGGAAGCTCTATACCATATTCATCTAACAGAAGCAAATTTTAGTAGCCAGTCCAAAGGATTTCTAACATTTCAAAATTTCCTAACGGGTAGTAATCTTCAAAGTATGTCTTATACTCTGTTTTATAGAAGAAATGTTTTGTACGCAGAATAAAGGCAGGAAATGATTACTTAACTACATATTCTAAAGGGCACTAAGATATCAGTTTGAAACAAAAGGTTCATTTAAACTATACCTTGAGCCAAAAGCCAAAATCAACTACAAAACCAAAAAAGTAAAATTGCTTTTAACATTGTCATTTTTTCAAGAATTTATTTTAATTTTAAAAGAATGTTATTCATTAATCCCTAAAATAAGAAAAAAATATTTGGATGTTTCTAAGAATGTGAAAAGCATCAAGACTAAGACTATTAAGGGACAAGAAGTATAAAGAAGTACCTATAAGCAACAGTAAGACAGCGAAGTTAGAAGAAAGCTAGGAAGGAAGAAAAAGAAAACTAAATAATTTTATATAAAATAAAAAATTATAGCTAAGACCCACAGGCAACTTGCTTTTTATACAAAGACTGACATATAATGAAAGGAACATTTGGGTAAATTTACAAAATCTAATTTAGCGGTTAAATATAACTCTGGAATAAAAGACAAAATTAAGTGTTTTATTAATAAATTCAGAACATAATTTTTTTACTTTCTTGAGTAAAAAAAAGGCAATTTACTATTTAAATAAGTGTGGCGTTGTGGGCTGTCTCAGACTGCAGAGTCATTTGAACTGCAAGGTTAGTGGTTCAAGCTCACCAGCTTCTCCTTGGAAACAGGGTCACTACAGGTCAGAACCGATTTGACAGCACTTAACAACAACAACATATCTAAACTAATATTAAATCACTTCAATTAAAAGGCCGGATCTAATTACCTCTAAACACTACCAGGAAAAAATTTTAATTAGAAAAATAATCCTTACCTCTGCTCATCTCCTGCACTTACATCATGTAAAAGTACGTAATATTTAAGTGTATTTGGTATAAACCACTTGGGGTAAGAATATTCACTGTTGTGCTGAATTCGATGCTGTTCTTGTGACAACTTTGAAAACTGTTCCATGGGTTCAGCTTCACTGGAAGATGCTACCAACATACCTTGTAAACCATATTATTAAGGTAATCAACACTTAGTATACAATAATAAATATTATTCTCTTAAAAAGGAGATTATTTTCTCAGCTAAACAATACAATTGAGTTTCATTGGTTTTCACTAAAAGTACAAAATAATTTCGCAAACGCTCCAAGGTACTTCAAGGTTCTAAATTTTAAAGATTTTTTTGGCTGAATGTTTTTTACATCATTTACATATCTAATAAAGAAATATATGAAAATGGACAATGCCAAAAATGTACAAATAATAAACAATTAAGCTGAATCTAGCTCCTCTCCATCCCATCGCACCACACTAACTCTTTTAATGTCTCTGCAACCTCATTAAGAAAATGGAAAAGTCAAAACCAAAGGATATTTAACATCCATAAAACAAGTTATTTTTTAAAACTTTATGATATAAGCGTCAAAACAAACTATTAATTTTGAAGCAATCAGTAAAAGCAAGTAACAGTGTAACTTTATTTTCTTTTTCTAAAATGGTTTTAAAATATATCAAACATGAAATATCCAAGCTAGATGGAAAAGGAAAAAGAATAAGCAAGCCCTCAATTGTCTTATTTTGGAATCAAATATGACTACATTGCAGCAGTCCTGTATTTAGGATATAACTTTCAAAAATTGGTATTAACAAAAGTTTGGACACATCATGAATAAAAAATAACTTCCTCATTCTTTATATATCCTTTTGGCAATTTGCCTTCATTTAACTATTTCTGAAATTAATAGCTTCTACATAACATTTTAGCTTCAAGAAAACATAAAAATCAAAGGATACACGCTAAATAGTGGTTCAGAAATTCATGATCTGATGCTGGCATTGACTGAAGAAAGGTCTCTCTGTAAGACTCAAACCATGGAGTAGTAGCTAAAATTAACAATATATAAAACAGTTAAAATTTCATATCAGAACAAAATTTCAAAGACATGTGAAAGGTTATATCCAGCAGTAAGCATTTTCACCTGCTTTGAGATATCTATATTATATATAGATATAAACATGTATGTTTGCATGTATTTAGGAGTCCTGGTATGACGCTGTAGATAATGCACTGGGACCACAAGGTCGGTTTTGAAAAGCAAGGTCGGAAGTTCAAATTCACCAGCCACTCCCTGGAAACCCTTACAGGACCGCTATGAGTCAAAACCAACTCAATGACACTTAACAACAGCAACAACACATATTTATATGATGTGTAAATATAATCATGACTATATTAATAAACAGGAATACATACACGTATTTGTAAAAATGAGATTGATTTATTCTCATACTTAGTGTTCCCACAACCTACTTACCTAATAATGCTTTAAATATCACCTACATGAGTAAAATGGTTGGTTCCTTCCACAGTCATACACTGTCAAAATATCTCCTTTTCATAAATGGCATCACTTTAAAACAACAGTTCTCAATCAAAGGCGACTTTCGGCCATTAACAGGACATTTGGCAATGTCTAAAGGGTAGCATAGTGGTTACGAGTCGGGCTTCCAACCTCAAGGTCAGCAGTTTGAAACTACCAGCTGTTCCGCGGGAGAAAGATGAGGCGTTCTGCTCCCATAAAGATCTACAGCCTAGGAAACCCTGTGCAGGGTCACTATGAGTCGGAACTGACTCCACAGTACTTAACAACAACAAAGGAGCTCTGATAGCATAGTGGATTCCGAGCTGCGCTGCTAACTGCAAAGTCAGCAGTTCAACTCTACGAGCCACTCTGTGGGAGAAAGATGAGGAATTCTGTTCCCATAAAGATTTACAAGCTCAGAAACCCTATAGAGGTTCGCTGTGAGTTGAACCGACTCCATGACACTGAACCACCAATCACTAAATGAATTTTTGGTTGGTCAGAAAGAGGGTTTCTACTGGCGTCTAGGGGAAAGCGGCCAGGAATGATCAGGAATTGGTCAGGAAAATGTTCCACAACAAAGAACTATCCTATTCAAAATGTCAGAATCCACTAGAAGACAACTAACAACTATACAAAATACCAATAATAATGAGGCTGACAAATTTTACTTGCAGAATTTGAGCATTTGATATCACAGAACGGTCAACCATTCAACATTAAAAGAACAACATTTACTTTAAAGCAACAAAGTTCAGAAGGGTTGGGAAGGAGGGAGTATGGAAATAAGAATGGCAGGGAGACGTGGTATAACTTTTGTTGAATGGATAGCATTGCAATCATTCAGATGAAATGAAATGTATGCTTTGGTTAGTGTAAAACTGATGATCTGCTCTGTAAAGCTTCAATCAATTCACAATAAAAAGCTTCAAAAAATAATTCAAGTATTTGAAATATAGTAAAAGCAAATCTTTAATCAACTCAAACTGTTACAAAGAGGTATATTTTTTCTTTATGCATCTATGTATATATAATGTGATTCTTAAGATGTCAAATCTCTCTTGTTCCATGCTAAGCATTTTATATTACATCTAACTCATTTTCATTTGAACTGACATACACTTACTCTTTTCTCTAGGTTTAAGTAGAACATCTAAATTACAGAGGACAATCCATTCCAAGCTATTTGTGATTACCAAACCTTCTATTCATTTCATTTTCATTATTATCACTAAAAACAATAACTATATTCTTTTTATCTTATGAGAATGACCTATATACCGAACTGGTTAGGAGTGGTGTTACTGTAACAATTTCTTATTCACCACTATAAAAGAGGAGAAACACTTCCAGAAATATTACAGGGTGCTTCCAAAAGTTCATGGGAAATGAAATAAAAAGACAGTGGGATTTTGCAGTAGATAGGTATACAGACAGTACAACAATACAAGTAAGGTATGCTCACCATGGATTAGCAAAGCAATCAAAATCAAAAAGGCAACATTAACTAAGGAAAAAGTGGTGGGTGCAATGAATGTAGGAACCACAGTGAGGTGTTGGGATAACTATTTTTGCATGGAGAGGGTATTGCAATCACTGAGATGAAACAAAGTGTATGATTTGGTGAATGCAAAATTGATGATTTCATCTGTAAATCTTCACTCAATTCAATTTTTTCACAGTAAAAATTACAAAAGAAAAAAAAGACAATGGAATCTTCCCACGAACTTTTTGAAGCCGTCTCATATAATCTATATGAAAAGTGGCAAAAAGTAGGAAATAGACAACACATACGAGAAAGATTCAAAAAGTGTATGGAGAGTAATTGTTATCAGGACTGATTGTGAGGGTTGGAAATGTAAAGGTAGACTTTTTGTAGCAAAAGGAGGGGAGTGATTGACTTTGCAGTCTAGGAGCGGAGGTCCCTGAGACCATCAAGGGAGATGAGCAGAGAGCAGGACCCTTCCCAGAGAAGCAGTGACACCAGAGATGGAGGCAGAGAGGATGACGTGGAGAGATGGAGCGACTGGAGACTTTAGACCCAGAGAGGGAGAGGGGCTGTGTGCTGAAGACTAGGTGGGGGGGTCGGGGTCGCAGGCTTGCAGGGTATACCCTTTGGTTGGTTGATGATGCATGGAGGGGATAGGATGAATGTAAA